CTCGGCCCGCCCGCCTTCAGGCCGGGCTCGGGCCGAGTGTTTCCCTAAACGGCCCGGGTCGGGCCGGGCCAGCACGGCCCGGGTTCTTACGCCGCCCGGGGTGGGTGTTGGCCCAGCCTGCTACCGACTGGGTTAAAAGGGCATGTTTGTATGGTGGGTAGCACACCCATAACCCCCCAGGCCGCGCCTGTAGCCCTCCCACACTCCACTAGAGACGATCCCAGTGCCCCACCAACAATCTCCCCCTCACTTGGGGCTCGTTTGGGCACTGATGCTCACTTGGCGCACACTGGGATTCGAACCGGAGACCTTTGGCTCTGATACCACTTGTTGGCCCAGCCTGCTACCGATTGGGTTAAAAGGGCATGTTTGTATGGTGGGTAGCACACCCATAACCCCCCAGGCCGCGCCTGTAGCCCTCCCACACTCAACTAGAGACGATCCCAGTGCCCCACCAACAGTGGGCCCGACCCGGGCCGGGCCCGGCCCGCCCGGTGCTCAACCCTAATACGAACCCAAGTGAAGATTGGGAGTGAGTGAGGGGAGGGGATGGTTGGGTGCAAGTGGTGGTTGTTTGTACACCTCAACAACCATTGGTTCCTCCTGCATGTGGTTGGAAGGACCGACCAACCACAAAGAAGGGACCATGGCGTGTGGAACAACAACAAGCTTGTAATTAACTGGGGGCTCCATTACAAATGGGTGGATTGGATTGGCACCTCAAGAACAAATGTACACCCACAATAGGGTGCATGGCCCAACTCAACAGTACACCACACTCATGTACAGTCACACACATTAAGCACGCTACAATATATATAGTTCTGATATTGTCCTCCCTCCTCTCTCCTCCCTGTGTTTCCCATCGTCCCCCTTTTGTTTCCCTCCTCTTCCTCCTGTCCCACAAAAAACGCGCGCCTCCCTTTCTCTCAGCGCCGGCTCCTCCTCCCCTGTGGCTACCGCCGTCGTTCTCCTTGCCCTTCCTCACGCCAGCCGCGCCCTTCACTGCCTCGGGTGCAGCTTGCCTCGGCTTCTCCTCGCTGCAACTCACCCCGGGCAACGATGACAACGAGGCAGGCGCTGCCTTCTTCCCCCTCCCCCTGCCCCTGCTCTCGCTCCTCCCCCCTCCTCCCCCCCGCAAGGGGAAGAAGGGCGGAAAGACCGATGCTGTGGTGTGCAAGGCTCGGTCCTTCACCTCGTGGTTTCCTTTTGAGCTCAAGGGAAGCGGATTCTTCGGATACGGGGTGGTTTTCGTGCTAAGTACTCGGCCGGGAGTGGGGCAAGGAGGGGCGGCGATGGGGTATGGCCGCGACTCGGTAGACAAGAATGCGAATGGGACGTGGGCGGACGGAGGGAGGAGTGTGGCGGTGATGTTTGATGCCTTCAGCGGCCTTGACCCTAACCATGACATTAACAAGGATGTGGCGATTCTCTCCGTTCACACTGACTTTAACGTAACAGAACGGTTGGCGTTTTCCTCTCAGAAGCGATACCTTTCCTCTCTGTACAGCATGAGGGTGGACTATACGGCTGCCACTAAGACACTGGAGGCAATGACTTATAACGGGGCTACGAGGATGGGGAGTGTGAAGCTGACCCTTGACCTGTGCTCTGTGTTCTATGATGGGACTAGCAGCACTGAAGGGGTGATTCCGGTGTATGCTGGGTTCAGCAGTGCCAGCACACATACATGTGTTCAGTCCATCAAAGGGTGGACCTTCCGATTCACAGGTGCGTGTGAAGGGTTGGTGAGTGTGCCGTGCACGTGTCAGTAAATGGGCACATCTTCTGCTTTAATTGCATCCGTATGAGTGTGTGCCTGTGCATGCATCCATACATCCTTGCATCCGTGCACATGTGTCGTGAGTGCATGTGTGTCGTGAGTGCACATGTGTCGTGAGTGCATGTGTGTCGTGAGTGCATGTGTGTCGTGAGTGCACATGTGTCGTGAGTGCATGTGTGTTGTGTGTGCATGTGTGTTGTGTGTGCATGTGTGTCGTGAGTGCATGTGAACACTTGATTTGGTTCCATCTGCCTCGTTCATGGCCAAATATGCCGGTGATTCCAAATCAAGCATGCATGCATGCAGGTGATTGAACTTGGCTTCACCTTAGAATCTGTATATCTGTTTGCATTGTTGAATGCGAGTGATGCATCCGTTGTTCCACTCAACTAGAATTTTTTATCCTATTATTCTGTCATGTTTTCAAATCCTTCCTTCTCCATTGTTCCAAGGTGACTTTTGAGTCGACTCAAAGTCATCTCCTTCGTTGCTCCCCTCTGTCTCTCTCATCATCCTCTCCTGTTCTCTCCTCATTCCCCGTGGCTCTCAGACGTCAACCCGTGCACGGCATGGGACGTGAATCCATGCGGTGCTGGCAGGTGCAGTGCGGTGCGGTCAGCAGCCACAGGCACATACACCAGCACGTGCTCGTGCCCTCTCAGCCAGCCCAGCTACAAGCTCCCCCAAATGCCCGCCTTCCAAACGTGCCACAATGGTAAGCCCAGACAAACGTCACCGCATCACAGTGCATCAAGCACCTTACGAACGTGCCACAATGGTAAGCCTGCACGGCACAGCATCGCACATGTGAAAGTATTGACTCTTGCGTGCGTGTGCTGTGCGTACACTGCCTTTGTGACTTTTGAGTCGACTCAAAAGTCACCTCTTGCGTGTGTGTGCATACACTGCCGTTGCACAGGCTCGTTCCTTCTTGCTACGTTCTTCAGCAAGTCCAGCTGCAAGGCCTTGCAGTTGTGCCACAATGGTGTGACAGATTTGACAGCAGAATGAATACAATCAATCAACAGTACATTACACTGGATGATTACTGACTTGCGATTACTGGCTAACACACATTCCCATGCCCTCTCAATCTCAACCACCCCAGATATAAGCTCCCTCAGCTTCCTCACACGCAAAGCTTCCACAATCATACACCCGAACCTCCTCATCATCCATTTGGTTCCTAACTACCATCTAATTCCTGACTTCCTGCTTGTAACCTCTACATTCCCTCTCTTCCCACTCACTGCCTTTCCAGAGTTCCCCATATGCCGTCTTAACAGCACTGACACGTGTGCGCCTGGTGTGTGCCTGGAGGGCTATGATGCGTCCCCCTTCTGCCTCTGCCCGCCCGCCTTCTTCCCCCTCGACTACTCTAACCCCCTCAAGCAACCCTGCAACCAAGGTAAGACTTTCCAAGGTAACCTTAGTGGTGAGGCAAACTTGGTGTGGAAAGTTGGTGCAGTTTCCCTTTCCAAGGGAAAGCTGGTGAGGCAAACTTGGTGTGGGAAGTTGGTGCAGTTACCTGCTTGTTGCTGTCACCTGCAGCACGCACGCACCTGTGCGGCTGACATGACATGTTATTTGACGGTTACATACAACAATGGCTGTTTTTGCTTGAAAGCTGACTCACAGGCATTGTTGTGACTCGTGAGTGAGTGCTGTGCTGTGCTGTGCTGTGCTGTGCTGACCTCATGAAGAGACTCTGTAACTTTGGTCCGGAATCCAAGGTCACGCAATAATGTGCGCTTGCTTCATGCCTAGCGTTTATCATAGATGCTAGTGGAACGCTAGGACGGGTAGGTTAAAGATAGGGGAGAGCTAGTGAGGCGAGGGGGGAAGGGGGAAAGGAAGGGGGAAAGGTGGGGGGAAAAGGGGGGAGGAGAGGGAACAGGCGGGTAAATTTGCTACACGCCCTTGGGGTTTAGTGACAACACGCCCTCCGTTGTTTCACGGCTTTCAACTCTGCGCTTCACTCTGTCTCGCCTCTCTCTTCATTCCCCCCCCTCTGCCCTCTGTCCCCCACTCTCTTCCCTCTTTCCCCCCCTCTCCCCATGTCCATTACCCCCCTCTCTCCTCCCTCTACCCCCCCCCCCCCCCCCCCTATCCCCGTCTGCCCTCTGTCCCCTCTCCCTCTCCTCTCTCCCCTCTCCCACTCCGTCTCCCCCTCTACCCTCTGTCCACCAGTGAGTGAGTCCGCCACTCGAGTGCCCTTCTTCCCAGCGCCCCCCGGCCTCACATGCCCTCTGCTGCTCGAAATCTTTGACCTCTCACCTCAAGAGCTGCTGGACAGCAACCAGGTGCGGCGTGGTGATGCGGTGAGGTGTGTTGTAGAAAAACACGACGTGTGAAAATTAGCTGCTGAACATTCCTTTTATTGGTGAGTTTCCTGAACCGCTTCTTGCTTGGTTTTTATAATAGCTCTATGAACAGATACTGTACTGCTAGTGATAGATAAAAAATCACAGGAGCTACAAGAGCAAAGCTCAGAAGCAGAAAGGCTACAAGCCGGGAAACTGGAACCAGCAACATAACTAATTAGGGAAAATAACTGTTGTAAGTATAATTTTGAATTTCAGAAGTTACGTGGACAGGCAAATCCTTTTGTTTGGAAACTGTTCCTGCCTTAGAGGAATTTGCTGCTTCTTTATCCCGAGCGGAATTAGCATCCATAGCATGTCCAACCTTTGTTCCTTCTGGCATTCCTATGACTCTTTTTCTCTCTCCGTCTCTCTTGTATAAAAATTTGGTGAGGAAAGATTTCTTCTAAAGATTTCTCTGTGTTTGGTTCCTGGGACCTGTATGCTTCATTCTCGTATCGTATGAATGTTTATTTTCTTGATGCTGTGTTTCGCACATCTCATAGAATCTTTCAATTGGTGTCATGTTGTGTTGTTCTCTGTTGTGGCTCTCTCTGTACGGCAGGACATGGCATGTGACAAGCCCATTCCTCGTGGGTTGATAGTCAACGTGTCGGCATCTGCTAACAAGAGCTGCACCAGCATGTATACGACTAACCAGGTGAGGCATCTGCAGCACCCACCAGGTGAGGCATGGTTGGTTGGTTGCTTCTGATGACTTTTCATCCCCCCCACTCTCCATCTCAAACGGTCCTTTGTATTGATTCACAAGGGGTACAGACATGCAGTTGTCAATGATGATATCCTTCATCCCATTTAACCCTTCCCCCCCCCTCACACCCCACCCACCCCAGGGTGACACGTGCAAGTCAATCAACAGCCTCCTTGACACCAACATAACAGATCTAAACCGTAACATTGACTGCTCACAACCTCTTGTACCTGGAAAGGTTAGACCCCTTCCCAATCCCGTCCTGTTCCAGTCTCCTGTTACTTTCTCTTGTGCGGTTCTTTGCTCTTTTTCCAGCATTCACCTCTAACAGCTTGTTAGCCGATTCCAACACCCCTTAGACATTCATCCAAACAGCTTGTTAGCCGATTCCAACACCCCTTAGACATTCATCCTAAGACAACTCATTCTGAAGTGACAACTTGTGCAGGCAAAGAAAAACTATCACGGAAGGTGGGAACGAACCCCACCTTTCCAGTGCCAGCTCTGTGACTCCGCATGTCTTAAGGCGCCTCAACACCAAACCAAACTCTCCCTCCCCCTCCTCGTCCCCTTCTCCTCCCTTCATCCCACCCCCCTCCCCACCCATCCTCCTCCCCCCCCCCCCCCCCCCCCACCCCCCACCTCCCCTTTTCTCCTCCATGCAGCGCATATGTGTGCAGAACAACACCAACGCCCGCACGTTCCCGGTGGCAGCCTGCATGATTCATCATGTTCTCGATTCGGAAGTGCACACTTGCCAACAGCTCTCCATATTAGGCGTCGGGTGGAGCCGCTTGGGCTACTCTAACCTTTTCCGCGTCAACCCCGCTCTCTACTGTGACCACCTGCTGCCCGGTGCAGCTGGATGGGACGACTCTGTTCTCAATACGGTGAGTGAGTTTGAATCTCACGTGGCAGTCACATGATCTGGGCTTTGCAAACCTTTGTCAACTCGATGCTTCTCTTTGTTACGCCCATCTGCTGCCCGGAGCTGTTGGCTGGACTGCTGTTCTTTGACCATCTACACAGGTATGTGCTCTTTGACTCTATAGGTTGTGCTGTTTGCGTCTGTTTATGGAAGCCTTACATCCAGATTTTTTTGTTTTTCAGGGACTCGTGCTGGTCTTTCTAGGCCCAGCTTGCACTTGACAATGACCATGGGTGTTATGGATTTGTTCATGTGTCCATTGGTGTTGCCACACTTCGGGGCTGCTTAGAGCATTATCTTCATGGTTGGATTGCTGAGTTTCATTTCGGGCATGGCGCGCATGGCAAGCTGATTTCCGAGATTTGTGTCAAATTGTGGTTTGATCCCTCACCTCACACCAGGTGTGCGTGATGGTGGATCAGCGGCCGGGTTCTGGAGGGATGCCGTGCGCACCAGGTTCCTTTTTTTTTGTCAGTTTGTGGTTTGATCCCTCACCTCACACCAGGTGTGCGTGATGGTGGATGAGGAGCCGGATTATGGAGGGATGCCGTGCGAGACTGGCCGGTTCTACTTGGTGAGGAGAGGGGATAGCTGTGGCAAGCTGATTGCGTCTCGATACAAGCGGAAAGTGAACCTCTTTCGATCACTCAATGGGGGCTATGACTGTACAGTGACGTCGCTGTGGGTGGGCATGCAGCTGTGCTTACCGTAATGCTGAGATGCTAACATTGCAGATTCGCCTTCACAGAGTAATTCTACTGGTGCTCTGCTTGTTTTGTTAATCATGACAAAGATTTTCATCTGCTGTGTTGTGTGTTCCTGTAAAAGTCCTCCACGTGAGCGAGTATCAATTCGTGATACTGCAATCCCCCAGATATACCACCCTAGGGATAGATAATATGATACATGTAGTGACACCGGTATAAAAGTGGTTAGAAGTATGGGAACTCCAACTGTACCAATGGAATTCGTGATAACACTACTGTTGCACAAATTAACCTCAAATGTTAGCACTTCAGCTTACGGTAAGCACAGCTGCATGCCCTCCCATAACGAAGACACGGTACAGTCAAACCCTCCATTGAGAGACCGGAAGAGGTTCATTTTCCGCTTGTATCGAGACACAATCAGCTTGCCGCACGTGTCTCCTCTCCGCACGAAATAGAACCGACGAGTCTCGCACGGTACTCCTCCGGGGTCCGGCCGCTCATCCACCAGCAAACACACCTGTTATGCGCGAGGGGGACACATCACAGGACCGCTTAAATGCAGGCAATCAGCATGCCGTGCGCTCCGTGTCAGGGCAATGTCAGGGTGTTGCTGTCAGCAATCCAACCTTGAGCATATCAGTGGATGAAGCCCCAAAGTGTGACGGCATCAACACCAAAGCCATCACCAGACAAGTGTGATCACTGTCAAGTTGGGCCTTGCAAATTTGACCTTACAAGTTGGCCCTAGTCTGTCTCGCAAAGCCCATGCAGTCTTGCAAAGAAAACTGGATGCATGTCTTTCACATACAAGGGCAGTCAGTATGTATGCATGGTGTAAGCAACCATTGTGTGGTGTGGAGCGAACAGCAGATTCAGCCTACAGGCCTGGCCGGCAGGTGATGGCAAGAGAGAGCCAGAAGGATCTGAAAACAAGTGGAAAATATTTTAAAGCGCTTCACGTATCAGAAAGTTCAATACTTTCACGTACAAGTCAAAAAAGCTCACCGTATTGAGAACAGAGTCGTCCCACCCAGCTGCACCGGGCAGCAGGTGGTCGCAGTAGAGAGCGGGGTTGACGCGAAAGAGCTTTGGGTACCCCATGAGGCTCCACCCGTAGCCGAAGGCGGCCACCTGCTGGCACGTGTGCAGGCCTGCCTCAAGAGCCTTGTGATCCACGCAGGCCGCCACGGAGAAGGTGCGGGCGTCGGTGTTGTTGTCCACACACACGCGCTGCAGGGCGGAGGGGGATGTTGCAGGGGGGTTTTGAGTCGACTCAAAAGTCACCTGTAGCCGAAGGCGGTTACCTGCTGGCACGTGTGCAGGCCCGGCTGGAGAGCCTTGTGAGCCATGCACGCCGCCACGGGGAAGGTGGTGGCGCTGGTGTTGTTCTCCATGCATATGGGGATGCAGGGAGGATGGGGGGATGCAGGGAGGATGGGGGGATGCAGGGAGGATGGGGATGCAGGGAGGATGGGGGGATGCAGGGAGGATGGGGATGCAGGGAGGATGGGGATGCATGGGGGGTGGGGGAGGGGTAGGGGCTTGAACAAGATAATGATTTCTCTGAAGAACAAGGTATCTTCTTAACAGTCATCTGTATCACGGCTTGAATGTCTAAGGCACCTCAACACTGTGTCATGATTCACCATCGAGGAGACATGAGTACGTAAGGACGCTAGCCACCCTATTGCGAGACAAACTACAGCTTTGCCGACTTACAGCTCTGCTGACTTACAATTCTGCTGACATACAGCTCTGCTGACTTAGCAAACACCTGTATGTTTTGACCATTGGAGGGAAAAGGCAGGTCTACTATCTGGTGGAGTATTTGGTGTGTCTAGACCTAGCGTATGTGGTGTGACTAGACCTAGCGTATGTGGTGTGACTAGACCTAGCGTATGTGGTGTGACTAGACCTAGCGTATGTGGTGTGTCTAGACCCAGCGTATGTGGTGTGTCTAGACCTAGCAATGGTAGCTTCTACAGAAGCGTTTGGACTAAAGCGCAGAGAGTCCAGAAAAAAGCATTGGGAAGGGAAGGGACACTTCAAAGAGGATATTCAGGGAATCAGGGGACGGAGTTGGAGTGCGATTTGGATGTGATCTGACCTTTCCAGGTACGAGAGGTTGTGAGCAGTCAATGTTACGGTTTAGATCAGTTATGTTGGTATCAAGGACGCTGTTGATCGAAGCACACGTGTCACCCTGGGGTGGGTGGGGGGAAGGGATGGGTGCGTGTGAGTGGGAGTGGGGGGGAGAGACGAGAGGAGAGCAATGCATGGGCAGACAATGAAACGGCTTCAGGCTGACCCTTGAGGACGTGTTGATCGATGCGCTAGTTCCACTGGTGGATTTGGGAAGGGGCAAGGGGGGGGGGGGGGGGGGGGGAGAAGGACCGTGGGTCTGAGAGAGAGTGTCGGAAAACTCATCATCTGTCGCATCCCATGGCTTGCCTTCTTCTTCCTGCACTCACCCTCCCTCCCTTCTTCTTCCAAGATCTGTTCCTGTGATACCTTACCTGCTCTGCCTCAGCCACTACCAGGAGAGATTCCCGCTCCCACAGATGGCTGCTCACATTGGCCTCGTCACCTAGGCTGGGGTTAGCCGTCAGTCAGTAACATGTATCCACTATAGCGAGCAAACAAACGAGAAAACGAATTAAGCAGTGAGTTCCTAGTCTATTTGAATCTCTACCCCGTGCCGCGCAGTTTCCCGTAACTCACATTGGGCTCCGCCCGCTAGGCTTTAGGATTGGCCCTTCAGATTGCCCAGGGCTCGCCCTTGAATTTGTCCCACCCTGCGCCTCGCAAATCCTTGAATCACCACTTTGCGTCACTCCCCACGCACCAAACTCACCTTCTACAGTACTTCGCATAACCCAACTACACCTACACTAGCAAGTAACTGAATCTATTGCAAACAACAATACATTCTGTGACAAGAGTGTGAAAGAGAACGATCAAAGGCCATAGAATGGGTGAAGATGAGCACTCTTATTCCACATATCAAGCTCAACTTCCACATATCAAGCTCAACTTCCACATATCAAGCTCAACTTCCACATATCAAGCTCAACTTCCACATATCAAGCTCAACTTCCACATATCAAGCTCAACTTCCACATATCAAGCTCAACTTCCACATATTCGCTGACAATCGGCCCAGTCACCAAGTCCTCTGTTTGTCTTACCCAGTCATCCAAAGAAAAGCACCCTTGCGTGCCTCACCTGGTTGGTGGTGTACATGCTGGCGAGAAGGGTTCACCAGAAACAACCAATCATGCCTCACCTGGTGGTGGGTGCTGCACATGCCTCACCTGGTGGGTGCTGCGCATGCCTCACCTGGTTGGTGGTATACATGTTGGTGCAGCTCTTGTTAGAAGATGCCGAGACATTGACTATCAAGCCACGAGGTATGGGCTTGTCACATGCAATGGCCTGACAAGGCAGTCATATAACAGAACAGCACAATATGACACCAAAAAAGTAATTCGGTGATTGTTGATACGACTTGAGCTTGCCTCCGCTCTAAACGGAAAAGAAGAAGAAGAAGAAAAAAAAAGGAGCCACGCATGTCATCTCTTGATCCGTTAAACAAGCAAACGAAAGAAGAAAAAAGAGCCTAGCTTCACACCTAGTTGCTCAGCACACGTCACCTCATCAGCACGCCCCGCCCCGCCACGGCACTCCTCACCTTGTTGCTGTCCAACAGCTGTTGAGGTGAGAGGTCAAAGATGTCGAGCAGCAGAGGGCATGTGAGGCCGGGGGGCGCTGGGAAGAAGGGCACTCGAACAGCGGACTCACTCACTGGTGGACAGCCAGAGGGCAGAAGGGGAGAATGGTGGGGAGAGGAGAGGGGTGGAAGAAAAATATGTTTAATAAAAAAAAAAAAAACAGAAACACACACACACACACACACACACACACACACACACACACACACACACCCACCCACCCACCCACCCACCCACCCACCCACCCACCCACGCACGCACGCACGCACGCACGCACCCACCCACCCACCCACCCACCACACACACACACACACACACACACACACACACACATCAGAGTTTGAAAGCCGTGGAGCAGCAGAGGGCAGGCTGGGGGGAATAGGGTGGGTGGGTGAGGCAATGAAGGACATGGATGAGAGACGTGGGGCAGCAGATGGAACGCGAGGGCAGGGGGGCTAAACGAAGTCCCTTCACAGTGCTGAGGTGAAATGGTCATTGGTGGAAGGAGGGTGGAGGGGAGAGTACATGTTAAGTACCACACTCATTGTCAGTACCAGACATAAGGTTAATAACGCACCTATTACAAGGGTGAAATGATAGATGTCAGGGCAGACAAGAAGCAGCTTAGATTAAACAATCGCCTCAAACAGTTTGAGGCACATGCCTGGTTAGAAAGTACTACCTTGGTTACAGGGCTGCTTGGTCTTACGTTGGTTACAGGGCTGCTTGAAAGGGTTAGAGGGTCTTACCTCGGTTACAGGGCTGCTTGGTCTTACGTTGGTTACAGGGCTGCTTGAAAGGGTTAGAGGGTCTTACCTCGGTTACAGGGCTGCTTGGTCTTACGTTGGTTACAGGGCTGCTTGAAAGGGTTAGAGGGTCTTACCTTGGTTACAGGGCTGCTTGAAAGGGTTGGAGGGTCTTACCTTGGTTACAGGGTTGCTTGAGGGGGTTGGAGTAGTCGAGGGGGAAGAAGGCGGGCGGGCAGAGGCAGAAGGAGGAGGCATCATAGCCTTCCAGGCACACGCCAGGCGCACACGTGTCAGTGCTGTTAAGACGACAGATGGGGAACTCTAGAGGGACATTGAAAAGGTGGAGAGGAATGCAGAGAGGAGAGGAATGCAGAGAGGAGAGGAATGCAGAGAGGAGCGGAATGCAGAGAGGAGAGGAATGCAGAGAGGAGCGGAATGCAGAGAGGTTAGAATCGATGAGATGGTAAGTGGGAGGGAACTACAGTGAGAATTACAGTGAATGGGGTGGGAGGCGATGAGATGGCAAGTGGGGAGTGAGGCAGTTAGCAGCGCAGCCACTTAGCTGGTGAAAGCAGAGGTAAGTATCAAAGTGCTGGTTGATTGATTGTGCTGTGCTGTGAACGCTTAAGAGTTATGGATGTGGCAATATCGGAGAGCGTTGCAGTTGCAATGGCTGAAATGAGAGGGCATGAGCTCGTGTTGATGAGACGTAATTTTGGTCAAGATTTACCCTTGCCGATTCCCTTGTGTACTACGTGGTGGCACATGTCTGGGCTTACCATTGAAGCACGTCTGGAAGGCGGGCATTTGGGGGAGCTTGTAGCTGGGCTGGCTAAGAGGGCACGAGCACGTGCTGGTGTATGTGCCTGTGGCTGCTGACCGCACCGCACTGCACCTGCCAGCACCGCATGGATTCACGTCCCATGCCGTGCACGGGTTGACGTCTGAGTGGCATGGGGAGTGAGGAGAGGCAAGGAGGAGAGGATGATGGAGAAAGGGGAAAAGGGGTTGAACAGAGGAGTAAGTAAGATGAGTATGAAAACATTAAGTTTGGAGGAAAATGATTACTAGTTGAGTGAATAAATGGATGCAGGCATGACTTCTAGTCACCGCCGGCAACACGTGTAGGTTGGGATCAGCGAATCGCGTATGTATAGTAGTTCGTACACATACCATATGCCATTCACTTTTTACTTTTTTTTTTTCCAACATAGCATAGTCTCACGAATGTGGCACATGGAATATGGAATCAAAGCATGTGCGCATGTGCGCACAGACAAAGATGCATGCATGCACAGGTGCATGCATCTACAGGCGCAGTTGCATTCAGGCACACACACCTGAGAAATCAAAACGTTCACGCCCCAATGAACCGTACACATACACAGATGCACACATTCACACACAAACACATGGCACTCACCCAACCCTTCACACTCACCTGTGAATCGGAAGGTCCACGATTTGATGGACTGAACACATGCCTGGGTGCTGGCACTGCTGAACCCAGCAAACACCGGAATCACCCCTTCAGTGCTGCTGTTGCCATCGTAGAACACAGAGCACAGGTCAAGAGCCAGCTTCACACTCCCCATCCTCTGTGCTCCGTTATAAGTCACTGCCTCCAGTGTCTTAGTGGCAGCCGTGTAGTCCACCCTCATGCTGTACAGCAATGGGGATTTGTATTTCTTCTGAGACGAAGAAGCAAGCCGCTGAGTCACGTTAAAGTTAGTGTGAACAGAGAGAATCGCCACATCCTTGTTAATGTCGTCGTAGTTAGGGTCAATGCCGCTAAAGGCATCAAACATCACCGCCACACTCCTCGCTCCATCCGCCCACGTCCCATTCGCATCCCTCCCTTCTGCGTCGCGGCCATACCCCATATCCGCCGCCCCTTGCCCCACTCCCGGCCGGGTACTTAGAACAAAAACCATTCCAAAACCATTCGTGTCTGTTCCCTTGAGCTCAAACGCAAACCACGAGGTGAAGGACCGGGCCTTGCACACCAGTGCATTGGTTTTTCCGCCCTTGTTCCTCCCCTTGCGGGGGGGATAAGGGGCGGGGAGGAGAGAGAGCAAGGGCAGGGGGAGGGGGAAGAAGGCGGCGCCTGCCTCCTGGTCGTGGTTGCCCGGGGTGAGTTGCAGCGAGGAGAAGCCGAGGCGAGCTGCACCCGAGGCAGTGAAGGGCGCGGCTGGCGTGAGGAAGGGCAAGGAGAGCGACGGTGGCTGCCACATGGGGAGAGGCGCCGGTGCTGGGGGAAGGAGGGAGAGGAGGGAAGGAAACATAGGGAGGAGAGAGAAGAGAGGTTTTCGATCACAATCATCTCCACATGGAAAGGTGGAGGGACTGAGGGGGAGGGCAGGAAACAGAGGAGTGGAAGCACCAACCAGGAGGAACGTTGGGATTGGAGAGCATATGAAATCACTTTTGAGAATTCTCAAAAGGGGGAGGGCAGGAGACAGAGGAGTGGAAGCATCAAACAGGAGGAACGATGGGATTGGAGAGCATATGAAATCACTTTTGAGAATTCTCAAAAGGGGGAGGGCAGGACCCAGAGGAGTGGAAGCACCAAACAGGAGGAACGATGGGATTGGACAGCATATGAGATGCCACACATCCCATGCCATCCGTCCAACCCATGCAATCCGTCCAACCCACGCCATCCGTCCAACCCATGCAATCCGTCCAACCCACGCCATCCGTCCAACCCATGCAATCCGTCCAACCCACGCCATCCGTCCAACCCATGCAATCCGTGCCCCATGCCATCCGTGCCCCATGCCATCCGTGCCCCATGCCATCCGTGCCCTATGCCATCCGTGCCCTATGTCATCCGTGCCCTATGCCATCCGTGCCCTATGCCATCCGTGCCCTATGCCATCCGTGCCCTATGCCATCCGTGCCCTATGCCATCCGTGCCCTATGCCATCCGTGCCCCATGACGTCTGCGTTTAGCGTACATCCCAGCCCGTCTCATGCCATCTGTTCTCCAGTGTGTCATCCGCCCCAGTAACAACTGTTGCTTTGGTATTTTTCAACACCGCTGGGCAAGGTAAGAACTTAAAACTTGGCTGATGTCTAAAAAAAAAAAAAAAAAAAAAAGACAAGTCCTGTCGAAACATGGACATCTGTGGTCCCCTCTCTCCGGGCGAGCCGAGCCAAATGTCAAGTCAAGTTTTCCAGACTCCAAAATTAACACAACTCGCGAGTGTGAAAATAAATCAAACAAAATGTGTCAAGATTTATTTCGAGATTGAACAACCTCGCGAAATAAGATCAACTCAAGTCAGCCGAGCCATTTGGGGAAAGGGGGAGAAAAACATCAAAGAAAAGAAGAAGAAGAAGAAGAAAAACACACAAAAAAAAAACTCTAGACTTACTCGAATCAAGTTTCACTCGCTCTCACCTTGCATGTCCACCTCGAAGGCCCAGGAGAGGATATCGTGTGCCTGAGTGTGCAGCGGCAGCAGCCCCGTGCCGGCTGCAAACCCCGCATGCACCAACACGGCTTCACCCTCCCCTCCGTTCGCCGAAGCAGAGTGAAAAAAATCGCAAGCGTTGAAAGGGAGGGAGAGGAGGGCGGAGGGGGGCATGGCGGGCGAGGAGGAGGAGGAGAGGCGCACGGAGAGCAGCGAGGCCGTGGCGTTGTACCCCACCCACGCATGCAGCGTCTTGCTGCCGCCCAGCGAGGGGATGCCCGCGGGGTGCACGGATGCATGGCCTGCTGACGTCATGCTGTAATCCATGTTCACCCCCACGTGGTGAGTGGTTGGGTCCAAAAACAGACGAGTTGATGACGTGTCAAACTCCACTGCCAGGCTGTGCTGATGTGGCAAGCTGCTGTTGAGAGTGACGCCACTGCCGCTGCTGCTGCCAATCGTGGTGCATGTAACGGCACCGTTCTCTACCTCACACAATTGCCCTTCACCCCCTTCCAACTCCACAAACATCTCCTCCTGCCGGTAAGGCCTTCTGCCATACCCCATGTTTGGCCCGGGCAGCCCAACAGTTGGGTCGGGCAGGAGAACGAAAGCAAAGCCGTGGGCCCCGAGAGCAGCGGGGTGGGGGGAGGAGAGGCGGAAGGAGAAGGAGGAGGAGAAGGAGTAGGGGCGGCAGGGGGAGGTGGGGGAGGCGGGGGAGACGAGGGGGAAGGGCGTGGGGTGCAGGGCCAGGCCCGCTTGGTGGGGGGGAGAGAGGGGGGTGAGGCGCAGCGAGGAGGGGAGGAGGCGGGCCGAACCGGAGGTGAGGAGGGGAGAGGAGGAGGTCAATCGGGAGTAGGAGAAGGACGGCGGGGCGGAGGCCGCTGGAATTTGAGGGGAGGCGGGAAACAAAAAGGGGGGGGGGGAGGAGAGGGGGGAGGGGGGGGGGGGAATGAGTAAAGTATAGAGAGTGAGAATTGGAGCAAATATGTTTGAGCATGAACTAAGTGGAGAAAGAGGTGGACTATGAGGAAAAGAAATGAGCTCCAAGAAATGAGTCTGTTGTAAGTGTGACGGTGTGACCAACGACTTGTGGGTCGACTCACTCACTCACACTGTGCTCCGAGAATTATCAACGGCTTGTGAGTGACCAACAGAACGCTCAACGGCTTGTGAGTGTGACCAACAGAACGCTCAACGGCTTGTGAGTGACCAACAGAACGCTCAACGCCTTGTGAGTGACCAGCAGAACGCTCAACGCCTTGTGAGTGACCAGCAGAACGCTCAACGGCTTGTGAGTGACCAGCAGAACGCTCAACAGCTTGTGAGTGACCAGCAGGACGCTCAACAGCTTGTGAGTGTGACCAACTGAACGCTCAAGACCATCGTGCCAGTTGTGAGCGGAGCGAGCACCAGTGATCTAAAGAAATGCACCTGTGCCTCTGAGCGCACCTGTGCCTCTGTGCGCACCTGTGCCTCTGTGCGCACCTGTGCCTCTGTGCGCACCTGTGCCTCTGGGAGCCACAGTGATCAAATCCACATCGATGCTCCCCGCCGCCGCTGCCGCTGACGTCAGCGCCCCGCCTTCCACCGCTGCCGCTGATGCTACAGACACACCCCCAGGCAAGGTGGGAGGTAAGGGAACGGGCACGTCAATGGAAACAGGCTGTTCCACAGAGCCATCAGAGGGCATGCTGCTACTGTCCACCGGGTCATCAGAAGGCGTACTGCTGCTGTCCGCCGCAGCGCCCTCGAGCAGCACGAGGTGCAGAGCAACGCCTTGCGGCGGGAAGGATAGAGATGCGGCGGAGGTGGAGGAGGGAGGGAGGTGGAAGGAGTAGGGCCCGTGCTGGCGCCAGGGGAGCAGGCCCGAGAGAGTGAAGGAGTTGTTCCGGCAGGGAACGCCGATGGTCCATTGATGCAGCACCATCATCTCTCCGCTGCTCATCGCGGCCGCCAGCGCACTGGCCAGCTCGGCTTCGTCCACGTTGCCGCTGCTGCTGCCAGTGCTGCCGGCGGTGGCTGGTGGTGGTGGCAGGGGCACGGCAACGATCATTGCTCGCATCGGCCGCACTCCAGCGGTGATAGACATATCCATCATGCACTCGCGCGCCCTTGCATAGAAATACAGCGAAAACTCTGCCTGCTGCTGCTGCTGCTGCTGCTGCGGCTGCTGCTCTCCCCCGTCCGCGACACACAGCAGCTGCCCCAGTCCCTGCACCGGCCACACTGCCCCTTCCCTCTCGCTCGCCCCGCTGCCCCAAAGCTCGCCACCGCTGCCGCCACTGCCGTCGCTGGGCTGCAGCCGCACGAACCGACCGCCCTCAGCCGCAACGGACGGGTCCCCGGGCGGAACCTCCCCTCCCCCTCCCCCTTCTCCTCCCCCGACCCCCGTCCCCTGCCCTTGCTGCGCTGCTGCGCCGCCGGGGACGAGCGGCACCCAGGACGAGGGCCGGTCTGCTGCATCGGACGTTTCTTCGAAGCCCGCATTGCGCAGGAGGTTCAACGAAGGAGCTGGGGGGGGGGGGAGGGAGGAGAGGAGGTGGGAGGGGAGGGTGGGGCGGGGAGGAGGGATGGCATGGGAGGGAGGGGGGGAAAAGGAAGTGAGGTGAGGGGATGATGGAGGGGATTCCAAAAAGGGAAGGGGGGAATATGGTGATACATAAGCAACTCTGGGGGAGGGAAAATTAACAAAACGAAAGGGGGAGGGAGGATGGAGATAAGTGGGCGCCAAATAGGCGGGGAAATGGGTGGAATGGGAAGTCGTGAGTCAATAGCAGAGCGAGACGGGAGTTCTCGTGCCAGCGCTGAGCTGGCCTAGGCTGGGGTAGAGAAACGGGAGGGAATTCAGAGGCGTTATGGCGGAAGGCGCGATGGTGCGATGCGATGCCCGGCGCTCACAGACGGTGGGGCAAAGGGCGCCGTTCGCTGCTGCTGGTGGAACCGGGTTTGCCGCTGGGGGTGTTCTTGCCGTCGACGGCACCACGTGAATTCGGGAGAGATATTGAGGTCGCAAAAATTGGTACCTTGAGCTGCGAGGCTGGCGCATGTCGGAACGGCGGCGTTGGCGGCGGCGACGAGCGAAAGGAGGTACGCGGTTACCACAAGCGCGCGAAGAACGACGATGAGGCGGTCACTGATGCCAATTTGAGCTGACTGACTGGAGGTTTGTTTTGGATTTTTGTCAGTATGCAGGGGCGCAGCGATTGACTCGTTATAAAGTGCCCCGTTAAGACTAGCTGATTGGTTCGCGTGTGGCATGGAGAGAAGTGCCGCGAGAGTGGTCGGGGATTGCGAGAAAGGAGCGAAACTTGCGGCGGTGACGGCAGCATCGCGCGGCGACAAGTCTTTCCGAGATCAGGTTCCCCGGTTTCGAGAAGAATCGCCATTACTGTCCCGCATGTATCTTACCACCGTAACAGCCAGGCCAAAGCCAACCACCGTAACAGCCAGGCCAAAGCCAACCACTGTAGCAGCAGGGCAAAGTGTCCAGACGGAACATACCACGGCTGGAAAAGATTCGGCTCGAACCCTAACCACACTGCACCACGCGTTATCTAATCTAAAAAGCACTAAACTACTTTCCACCTCTCTGGACCTCGGAATCTCAGCCTTTGTTTGAAGACATATCCTCTCTGCTCGCCAGCAGTATGCACTGTGATTGTCAGAGGGATATGCTCGTGGTGGCCTGACGCGGCAGTTGGGTGTACTGTACTATACAGTTGCAACCAGAGAAAGGGAAGGGGAAGAGTGGGAGGGAATGAAGGGCGAAAGAGGTGTTGGTGTTGGGGCAGAAAGCAGCTGAAAGGCTCGCGCATGCAAATTCCGCGCAAGATTGCTGGAGTTGGGTTCGGTTCTGTTGGAACGGAGATGGGAAAATGAGGCGATCTGAGGCTCTGCGTTCGACCAACAGAAATCTGGGGTTTGGTTTGGTCAGGTTGGCCATGCGCTGCTGTGCCTCTCCACCCCTCCACACCGATGCGCTGCACTGTGGCATTCACGTCTTGTCACATGCTGCCTGCCAGGCTGGCGTGTTGCCATTCTTGAAGGTCAACGCCCACGATTCATTTTGGTACTGTGTACAAGCGTGTACCACCCCATTTTTCACGTCCAGAACATCATATATTCACTACACAAGTAGTCTGGTTCTCCAACATTCTAGTGAAATGTTACTTGTTTTCGTCGTTTTAAGGATAGGTATGGCAATATGGAGCATTATATAATATCACACTTCAGACACATCACAATATTGAAAGACGCATTACAGGGTGCTACGCATACAATACAAACCCAACAGAGGGGTATCATAACAACGCATAATAATTGACTAGTTGAAGACAAGGAAACTGGACTGCTGGACTACTGTTGTCTACCTGCCAGGCACCACTGTGCCTTTGGCTGCCTGGCAGTGCATCTCCTCCCACCCACCCACCCACCAGGGAGACAAACAAATTGCGCCCTCTCAGATCACCTCTCTTAAGAGGAATTACTTCTTTGGGATGTTTCCTGCACAGAGGCAATAAGCAGGGAGGAAGGAGGGGTGAACGGGGGAAGGTGAGGGCGCCAAGCCACATACCACATAGGTGCATACTGACATATGACCCAGAGCAACCAATGGTGGAAAGTGCTCAAGAAAAAGAGATGTGAAGGGAACGGAAAACGACTTAGACGAAACGAGAGACAGATCGGGGTACGAACGAGAGACAGACCGGGGTACACACCAGTGACACAGCGAGCAGACTTCAATGATTTACCAATCTTCTTAGAGCTGCCCATGCAGGAAAGGATGGAAGGAGGGGCATAGTGGAAGAGGCAGGGTAGAGAGAGAGAGGGAGAGGGAGAGGGAGAGAGAGAGGGAGAGGGACAAAGGGAATGTAATGAATGCGCACTCGTGAGCAAGAGGTGTCAACCAGGAACATTTCCTCCCAAGATTACCCACACTTGCACAACAGCACAACTGTGGGAGCCGCGTGTAAATAGTGAAGTTTTGAGACGTTTAAAAAATTCACCTTTTACGAGAGGTGTGAACCAGGAACATTTCCACCCAAGATTACCCACACTTGCACAACAGCACAATAAAGGTGTGTCTCACCCCTTGCCCAACTCACCCCCTACCCAACTCACCCCTTGCACAACTCACCCCTCCCCCAACTCACCCCTCCCCCAACTCACCCCTCCCCCAACTCACCCCTCCCCCAACTCACCCTTCCCCCAACTCATCCCCCAACTCACCGTGTGCCCTTCACCAGGGTCTTCACAGCCTTCCCCTTGCAGCCCGGCGCCGCAAAGAACTCGATCCTCCGGCACCCAACCGCCTGCACCTGCTGTGGCATCATGGCCCCCAGCTGCCACACCACCTGCACCTTCTTCTTTCCGCGACCAGTGTTGCCCGGAATGCCCACGCAGCTGCCCGCGTCAAAGCTGAAATGCCGCCCCTTGATCTTCATCATCGTGCCCACTTTGGTGATATGCCGGGGGCGAGGCACTGGAGGCACTGGGGGCACTGACGTGGTGCCATTGCCAGGGGAAATGACTGGGATCACTGTAGTGCTACCATTGCCAGGGGTGGTGCCATTGCCAGTGGTGGTGCCACCGCCAGTGTTGTTGCTGCCATTGCTATCACCGCCAGTGTTGTTGCTGACATTGCTATCACCGCCAGTGTTGTTGCTGCCATTGCTATCATCGCCAGTGTTGTTGCTGCCATTGATACCACCACCTCCTGCCTCGCTGCCCTGCCCGTCCGCTGCCTCGCTGCCCGCATCCACTGCTTTCTCGCTGCTCTTGTTGTCGCTCACGCCATTGCTGCCCGCATCCACTGCTTTCTCGCTGCTCTTGTTGTCGCTCACGCCATTGCTGCCCGCATCCACTGCTTTCTCGCTGCTCTTGTTGTCGCTCACGCCATTGCTGCCCGCATCCACTGCTTTCTCGCTGCTCTTGTTGTCGCTCACGCCATTGCTGCCCGCATCCACTGCTTTCTCGCTGCTCTTGTTGTCGCTCACGCCATTGCTGCCCGCATCCACTGCTTTCTCGCTGCTCTTGTTGTCGCTCACGCCATTGCTGCCCGCATCCACTGCTTTCTCGCTGCTCTTGTTGTCGCTCACGCCATTGCTGCCCGCATCCACTGCTTTCTCGCTGCTCTTGTTGTCGCTCACGCCATTGCTGCCCGCATCCACTGCTTTCTCGCTGCTCTTGTTGTCGCTCACGCCATTGCTGCCCACATCCACTGCTTTCTCGCTGCCTGTGCCGCTCACCACATTGCTGCCCGCATCCACTGCTTTCTCGCTGCTCTTGTTGTCGCTCACGCCATTGCTGCCCGCATCCACTGCTTTCTCGCTGCTCTTGTTGTCGCTCACGCCATTGCTGCCCGCATCCACTGCTTTCTCGCTGCTCTTGTTGTCGCTCACGCCATTGCTGCCCGCATCCACTGCTTTCTCGCTGCTCTTGTTGTCGCTCACGCCATTGCTGCCCGCATCCACTGCTTTCTCGCTGCTCTTGTTGTCGCTCACGCCATTGCTGCCCGCATCCACTGCTTTCTCGCTGCTCTTGTTGTCGCTCACGCCATTGCTGCCCGCATCCACTGCTTTCTCGCTGCTCTTGTTGTCGCTCACGCCATTGCTGCCCGCATCCACTGCTTTCTCGCTGCTCTTGTTGTCGCTCACGCCATTGCTGCCCGCATCCACTGCTTTCTCGCTGCTCTTGTTGTCGCTCACGCCATTGCTGCCCACATCCACTGCTTTCTCGCTGCCTGTGCCGCTCACCACATTGCTGCCCGCATCCACTGCTTTCTCGCTGCTCTTGTTGTCGCTCACGCCATTGCTGCCCGCATCCACTGCTTTCTCGCTGCTCTTGTTGTCGCTCACACCATTGCTGCCCGCATCCACTGCTTTCTTGCTGCTCTTGTTGTCGCTCACACCACTGCTGCCCGCGTCCACTGCTTTCTCGCTGCTCTTGTTGTCGCTCACGCCATTGCTGCCCGCATCCACTGCTTTCTCGCTGCTCTTGTTGTCGCTCACGCCATTGCTGCCCGCATCCACTGCTTTCTCGCTGCTCTTGTTGTCGCTCACGCCATTGCTGCCCGCATCCACTGCTTTCTCGCTGCTCTTGTTGTCGCTCACGCCATTGCTGCCCGCATCCACTGCTTTCTCGCTGCTCTTGTTGTCGCTCACGCCATTGCTGCCCGCATCCACTGCTTTCTCGCTGCTCTTGTTGGTCACGCCTTTGCTGCCCGCGTCTGTTGTCTGCTTGGTGTTTTCAGCCAGGAAATTGCTGCCCACGTCTGTTGTCTGCTTGGTGTTTTCAGTCAGGAGATTGCTGGCCGCGTCTGTTGTCTGCTTGGTGTTTTCAGTCAGGAGATTGCTGCCCGCGTCTGTTGTCTGCTTGGTGTTTTCAGTCAGGAGATTGCTGCCCGGGTCTGTTGTCTGCTTGGTGTTTCCAGTCAGTAGATTGCTGCCCGCGTCTGTTGTCTGCTTGGTGTTTTCAGTCAGGAGATTGCTGCCCGCGTCTGTTGTCTGCTTGGTGTTTTCAGTCAGGAGATTGCTGCCCGCGTCTGTTGTCTGCTTGGTGTTTTCAGTCAGGAGATTGCTGCCCGCGTCTGTTGTCTGCTTGGTGTTTTCAGTCAGGAGATTGCTGGCCGCGTCTGTTGTCTGCTTGGTGTTTTCAGTCAGGAGATTGCTGCCCGGGTCTGTTGTCTGCTTGGTGTTTCCAGTCAGTAGATTGCTGCCCGCGTCTGTTGTCTGCTTGGTGTTTTCAGTCAGGAGATTGCTGCCCGCGTCTGTTGTCTGCTTGGTGTTTTCAGTCAGGAGATTGCTGCCCGCGTCTGTTGTCTGCTTGGTGTTTTCAGTCAGGAGATTGCTGCCCGCGTCTGTTGTCTGCTTGGTGTTTTCAGTCAGGAGATTGCTGGCCGCGTTTGCTGCCTGCTTGTTGCTGTCAGTCACCACATTGCTGCCCGCGTCTGCTGCTTTCTCGCTTCTCTTGTTGTCGCTCACACCACTGCTCCCCGCGTCCGCTGCTTTGTTGTTGCTGCCAGTCAGGAGATTGCTGCCCGCGTCTGTTGTCTGCTTGGTGTTTTCAGTCAGGAGATTGCTGCCCGCGTCTGTTGTCTGCTTGGTGTTTTCTGTCAAGTGATTGCTGCCCGCGTCTGTTGTCTGCTTGGTGTTTTCAGTCAGGAGATTGCTGCCCGCGTCTGTTGTCTGCTTGGTGTTTTCAGTCAGGAGATTGCTGCCCGCGTCTGTTGTCTGCTTGGTGTTTTCAGTCAAGAGATTGCTGCCCGCGTCTGTTGTCTGCTTGGTGTTTTCAGTCAGGAGATTGCTGCCCGCGTCTGTTGTCTGCTTGGTGTTTTCAGTCAGGAGATTGCTGCCCGCGTCTGTTGTCTGCTTGGTGTTTTCAGTCAAGTGATTGCTGCCCGCGTCTGTTGTCTGCTTGGTGTTTTCAGTCAGGAGATTGCTGCCCGCGTCTGTTGTCTGCTTGGTGTTTTCAGTCAGGAGATTGCTGCCCGCGTCTGTTGTCTGCTTGGTGTTTTCAGTCAGGAGATTGCTGGCCGCGTCTGTTGTCTGCTTGGTGTTTTCAGTCAGGAGATTGCTGCCCGCGTCTGTTGTCTGCTTGGTGTTTTCAGTCAGGAGATTGCTGCCCGCGTCTGTTGTCTGCTTGGTGTTTTCAGTCAGGAGATTGCTGGCCGTGTTTGCTGCCTGCTTGTTGCTGTCAGTCACCACATTGCTGCCCGCGTCTGCTGCTTTCTCGCTTCTCTTGTTGTCGCTCACACCACTGCTCCCCGCGTCCGCTGCTTTGTTGTTGCTGCCAGTCAGGAGATTGCTGCCCGCGTCTGTTGTCTGCTTGGTGTTTTCAGTCAGGAGATTGCTGGCCGCGTCTGTTGTCTTCTTGGTGTTTTCAGTCAGGAGATTGCTGCCCGCGTCTGTTGTCTGCTTGGTGTTTTCAGTCAGGAGATTGCTGCCCGCGTCTGTTGTCTGCTTGGTGTTTTCAGTCAGGAGATTGCTGGCCGTGTTTGCTGCCTGCTTGTTGCTGTCAGTCACCACATTGCTGCCCGCGTCTGCTGCTTTCTCGCTTCTCTTGTTGTCGCTCACACCACTGCTCCCCGCGTCCGCTGCTTTGTTGTTGCTGCCAGTCAGGAGATTGCTGCCCGCGTCTGTTGTCTGCTTGGTGTTTTCAGTCAGGAGATTGCTGGCCGCGTCTGTTGTCTTCTTGGTGTTTTCAGTCAGGAGATTGATGCCCGCGTCTGTTGTCTGCTTGGTGTTTTCAGTCAGGAGATTGCTGCCCGCGTCTATTGTCTGCTTGGTGTTTTCAGTCAGGAGATTGCTGGCCGTGTTTGCTGCCTGCTTGTTGCTGTCAGTCACCACATTGCTGCCCGCGTCTGCTGCTTTCTCGCTTCTCTTGTTGTCGCTCACACCACTGCTCCCCGCGTCCGCTGCATTGTTGTTGCTGCCAGTCAGGAGATTGCTGCCCGCGTCTGTTGTCTGCTTGGTGTTTTCAGTCAGGAGATTGCCGGCGGGGTCCGTTGGCTGCTTGGTGCTGCTACCGGCCACCACATTGCTGACTTTGTCTGCTGCTTTCTTGATGCTGTCACTCACTGCATTGCTCGCCGTGGCCGCTGCTGCCTTGAGGCTCGAGCCAAACGCCTCGCTGCCCGTGACCAGGTGACTAGCTGCGAGGGGGGCACAGAAGAGGAACCACCTGGTTAACGAAGAACGGAGGGTGGGGGCTTGTTTGCACTCATGGAATCGTGTGAGGAGTGGCACTCTGAGAAGTCGCACTAGCTGCGAGGGGGGCACAGAAGAGGAACAAACGAACGGAGTGTGGGCTTGTTTGCTCGCGTGTGAGGAGTGGCAGTCTGGGTGCGAATTGACTGCCATGTGCTGAAAGCAACAAAGTTGTGGAGCCAGCCGGACAGAGGGCGTATCGTGTGTTGACAAAGACGCATAGCAGGGGTGCACGGAGGGTGCACGGCGTGTTGAGTTGACGAAAGGTGGAACCAAGCGAGGCTCTTTTCTTCTAAGCAAAAGGCTTTTGAGACGTCTCAAAGGTTGACGAAAGGTGGAACGAAGAGAGACTCTGCTCTTCTAAGCAAAAGGCCTATCGACAAGGGGGCGCAGAGCAGGGGGTGACGAAGGGTGCAAGGCGTACCTAAAGGCATGTTGGCAAGGACACGCGTGAGAGGAGAAAGAGCAGGAGGCTTTTGAGACGTCTCAAAAGTCGTCTAAGGGTGCAAGGCGTACCTAAAGGCATGTTGGCAAGGACATGCGTGAGAGGAGAAAGAGCAGGAGGCGCAGCGCAGCGGCGAGGCGTACCGGTGAAGAGCGCGACGAGAAAGACGCGAATCACGACCGTCGCACTCCCCATCTCCCGCCGCATCCTCGCTGGCGTCCCCATCGGGCGTGAAGCACGCGGATACGATCACGACGGATCGTTACAGCGTGATGTGACCGGTTTGGAACGGTTGAGGTCGCGGCTGAACCGGTTAAGGTTGAACAAAGGATGTGACCGCTCCCGGTCGATACGTCGAGACAGCTGATGGGGAAGGCCGGGACACGCCAGCGGCAGGTCGAAACAACGAAAAGCTCTGCTTGACGCGCGGAGACCGTCGTGAAAGAAGCTCTGCTTGAAAGGAGAGCGAAAGGAGATGAGCTTCGCTTGGAAGATCTGCTTGAAGCGCGGAGACTGTGGGAGTTCGAGAGGGGAGAGGAGCTTCACTGGAAGCTCTGCTTGAAAAGCCTCGCTTGAAAAGAAGCGCCGGCTGCGATGAACTCTGCTGCTCACCGCCGCTGCGCTCGTCTCCTTTTCTACCTGCTCGCCTCTCGAGCCGAGCCTCGCCCATCCCTCGCATCGCGTCACACCCTCCGAACCTCTCGTTTCGCATCGTAAATTTCCAAGCCTGGATCCGCAGAGACCACCACCTGGGTGAAAGCAGTGCGGGGGAACGCGGTGATGAGGCGGAGGCGAATGGTAGAAGCGATAAAGGGAAAGCTTTCTTTCCTGCGCGCACTGCGCCGCTAGTCTCGCGCAGTGGCGACGGGAGGTCTAGTAGCGCGCTAGGGTAACGAACGCGTTCCAGTGCGACTGGGAAGGTCGGCATTGCCGCGCGGCGATCCCCGTTTGCCACTCGCAGATATTATAGTAGCGGAAAAACGCTCAGCCGTGCGACGAGGATTTGACTATCATCGCAAGGAACGCGGACATGGTTAGTGCCACTCCTCCTAGTGTTGTATATTCCAGCCCGATTCCTAGTTTCGGGCCGGCCGGACAGTGCTTGATAGAAGGGTTGTGTATGCGCAGTCAGGAACGTGATCTTGTTGATCGCAGAAATGCGCATGCGACGATTGCGACGATGAGGTCGAGGCAGCGCAGAGGAATAATGCAATGGGAGGTTCGGTGGCTTATTGGTGCGGAGCAATAAATAACGGCTACAAGATTCATTCTGGTGCGGAATGGTTGGACGCCAGTGAATATCAGGACCGTCTCCAAACGTGGCTGACCGTATTAAACCGCGTCATCGAGCCGTGTAACGCCCTGAAGGTTCGTCCGAACGCGGAAGGGCAAGTTTGAAAGGTTCGTTTGAGGCTGATGCGCTTAGACGGTAAAGAGTGCGCTGTAAGAAGTTAGGAAGTGCACGTTTGGGTGTTGAATGAAAAATACCATTTTTGGGTTGCATAGCAACCCTGTATATTTGGTTTCCTGCCTAAGTTCAAGGCTCGGAATTTCGGGTCGACGAAATTCAACCACAAAAATCGACCCGAGTTGTGTGCGACATGATTCGTTATTTTGGTGTGCTTTGTTTTCGTGCTCGTTTCAGCAGTACATAAAGAATGTTGACATATGTAACTTTATGAGAAGGCATTCCCTGTACGCTGCAGGAGCCGACTCTACCGAGTACGAAGACGAAGATTCAAAAGAGTCGAAGCGACACCAGCATCCGTCAGATCTGGACTGATGCAGGCAGAAATATTTGAAGTGAAAGTGTCAGAATATAATATTGTGTAGGCTGTAGTGGGGTATGCTGTAGTGAGTACAACCCTGTTAAGGTTTCCTGCTTGTATCCCACCTGCCTGTTAGTCAAGTCCTCTTTCCTGGCCTAACTTTCTAGCTGCTGTTTCAACATGCTATCAAAGCAGTTTGACTCTCCCTGGTCGATCTTGTGGGTGGGCCCACCCTATGCTTCCGCTGTTGTCCTGCCTATCGCGCGCCCCGGACGCGCGACGTTTTCTGCCTGCCGCGCGCTCGGGGCGCGCGGCGTTTTTTCTTCCCGCCGCGCGCCCTGCCCGACGCGTCGCCTCGTGGGACCCGCGCGCCCCCCCCCCGCTCGTCCCGCGCGACGCCCTGCAGGACCCGCGTGCTGCCCCGCTGGACCCGCGCGCAGCCCCCACTGGACCCGCGCGCTGCCCCGCTGGACCCACGCGCGCTGCCCCGTGAACCCGCGCGCTGCCCCATCGACCAGCGCGTCGCCCCGTGGGACCCGCGCGCTGCCCCCGTCGACCCGCGCGTCGCCCCAGGGGACCCGCGTGCACTACCCCGTCGACCAGCGCGCTGCCCCCGTCGACCCGCGCGTCGCCCCAGGGGACCCGCACGCACTGCCCCGTGGACCCGCGCACGCTGCCCTGTGGAGCCGCGCGCAGCCCCGTGCCCTCGTGCACCTGCGGGGCGGCTTCTTCCCCGTCCCCGCCCCCTCCTTCCTCGTTGTCTCTCTGCTGCGCGTGCAGCCGTGGGGGAGGGTATGGGGGTGGCGGGTATGGGGGTGGCGGGTGTGCGTCGTCCCATGCTCCTCCTCCTCCTCTCTCTCCCACTGCTGCAGCTGCCGCTGAGGGGGGTGGGTGTGTGGGAGCCGAGGGAGTGGCGCGCCAGGGGGTGCAGTGGGATTGGCGCTAGGAGTGCAGTAGGGGGTGTGTGAAAAGGGGATTGGGACAGTGGGGGGAGGTTTAGCTGAGGTAGTCGTCGTGACGCCAGCAGCGCCAGTAGTCCGGAGCCGGCGTGCTCCGGTAGCCAGCGAGCCCGTTGCACCAGTTGCCCGTGGGTCAGTTGCTCCAGCCGCTCGTCGTAGCCGCGGAGCCAGTTACTCCCGTAGTCCGGTGCCGTCGCGCTCCGGTAGCCAGTGTGTCTGTTGCTCCAGTCGCCCGTGTGCTAGCAGCTTCAGCCGCCGCCTCCTATCTCCTCTCCTCCGTTAGTTCTTCTTCCTCCGCCTCACTTGCCCTCTGTTTCCACTACTAGCTTATGCATGTGAGCTTCTTATGTGATTGTTTGCTGTGCTGATCGTACCCCACTTTGCCTATGGGGGTGTGTCAGAATATAATATTGTGTAGGCTGTAGTGGGGTATGCTGTAGTGAGTACAACCCTGTTAGGGTTTCCTACTTGTATCCCACCTGCTTGTTAGTGAAGTCCTCTTTCCTGTCCTAACTTTCTAGCTGCTGTTTCAACAAAAAGAGCGGAAACATGTTTGAAACGGGTTCCTGCGCCGCACGGTTTGAACTTCGCTGCAATAAGGGAATGTACCCCTTAGAGTACATGGCTAGTCTAGGTCTTTTCGTATTCCCTGTATTTCCAATATCAACCCGATGTGTGCATGCTATTATTATCTCAGTCATTTTACATTCACTCTGACCTGAGGTCAACACTTCCGCTGCAACAAAACTTGCGAACAACCATTAGCCGATCCCTGGCTAAGTCCTTCTTAGGATTTTAACAATGAACACAAACCAGAAATTATCTAAACCACCACCACTTTTATGTTTGTATGTATATTAGGCTAAGGTTGATCGTCTTTTGCAATCATTGGTGCATTTGAATTGTGCTATCGTAATGGATTTCTACATCCTCCACCCCCCTTCTTACCCTCTCTACTTCCCCCCCACCCCCCCCTCCCCCCGCCGCATTCCACCCGTTTCACCTTGGATGTCGACGTGAAAGTTCCACGAGAGGATGTCATGTGTCTGAGAGTGCAGCGGCAGCAGCCCTGTGCTAGTTGCAAACCACGCATGCACCAACACCGCCTCACCTACACCCCCTTCCTCCTCTGGAGCAGTGTGAAAATAAACGCAGGCGTTGAAGGGGAGGGAGAGGAGTGCGGAGGGGGGCATGGCGGGCGAGGAGGAGGAGAGGCGCATGGAGAGCAGCAAGGCGGTGGCGTTGTAGGCCACCCACGCATGCAGCGTCTCGTTCTCCTTGCCGCCCAGCCAGGCCATGCCCGCGGGGTGCATGCACACACAGCCTGCTGACGTCATGCTGTAAATAAGCGAGTTGATGACATCTCAAACTCCACCGCCAGGTTGTGCTGATATGGCAGGCTGCTGTTGAGGGTGACACCACTGCCGCTGCTGCCGCCAATCGAGGTGCATGTAACGGCCCCGTTCTCTACCACACACAATTGTTCTCCCCCCCCCCCCCTCCCCCCCCCCCTCCTCCAACTCCACAAACATCTCCTCCTGCCGGTCAGGCCTCCTGCCGTATCCCATGCTTGGCCCGGGCAGCCCGACAGTCGGGTCGGGCAAGAGAACAAAAGAAGTCGTCGGCCCCGAGAGCAGCGGGGTGGGGGGAGGAGAGGCGGAAGGAGGAGGAGGAGAAGGAGTAGGGGCGGCAAGGGGAGGTGGGGGAGGCGGGGGAGACGAGGGGGAAGGGCGTGGGGTGTAGGGAAGGCCCGCTTGGTGGGGGGGAGAGAGGGGGGTGAAGCGCAGTGAGGAGGGGAGGAGGCGAGGTGAGCCGGAGGTGAGGAGGGGAGAGGAGGAGTTAACGAGGAGTAGGTGAAGGACAGAGAGGTGGAGGCCGCAGGAATTTGAGGGAAGGCGGGAAGAAAAAAGGGGAGGAGGGGGGCAAAGGAAAGAGAAGGGGGTGAATCGGTTTGGGCATGAGCAAAGTAGTGAAAGAGGTGGACTATTGGGAAAATCAATGAGCTCCAAGAATACAGAGTCTGTTGTAACTGTGACCAAGGCTTGCGGGTCGACTCACTGACACTGTGCTCCAAGAATGAACTCCCAAGAGTATGCTCAAGACTATCTGTGCACACCTGTGCCTCTGTGCGCACCTGTGCCTCTGTGTGCACCTGTGCCTCTGTGCGCACATGTGCCTCTGTGCGCACCTGTGCCTCTGTGCGCACCTCTGCCTCTGTGCGCACCTGTGCCTCTGTGCGCACCTGAGCCTCTGTGCGCACCTGTGCCTCTATGCGCACATGTGCCTCTGTGCGCTCCTGTGCCTCTGTGCGCACCTGTGCTTCTATGTGCACCTGTGCCTCTGTGCGCACCTGTGCCTCTGTGCGCACATATGCCTCTGTGCGCACCTGTGCCTCTGTGCGCACATCGATTCTCCCCGCTGCCTTTGCCACCGACGCCAGCGCCCCGCCTTCCACTGATGCTGCTGATGCTATAGTCGCACCCCTAGGCACGGACCCACCCCCAGGCACGGTCGGAGGTAAGGGAACGATCACGTGAATGGGAACTGGCAGTTCCACAGAGCCATCAGAGAGCATGCTGCTGTTGCTGCTGCCGCTGTCTGCCCCGCTACCCTCCCGCAGCGTGAAGTGCAGAGCAACGCCTTGCGGCGGGACAGATAGAGCAGCGGCGGAGGCGGAGGAGGGTGGGAGGTGGAAAGAGTAGGGCCTGTGCTGGCGCCAGGGGAGGAGGCCCGAGAGAGAGGAGTTGTTGCGGCAGGGAACGCCGATGGTCCATTGATGCAGCACCGTCATCTCTCTGCTGTGTACGCCTGCTGCTAACGCCCTGCCCAACTCACCCTCACCATACACGTTGCTGCTACCAGTGCCCCCACCGCCTGTGCTGCCGTTGTTGCTGCTGCCGTCAGTTGCTTGTGGTGGTGGTGGTGGCAGCGGCACAACCACGATCGTTGCTCGCATCAGCCGCAATCCAGAGGCAATACACATATCCATCATGCACTTGCGTGCCCTTGCATAGAAATACAGCGAAAACTCTTGCTCCTCCTGCTTCTGCTGCTGCTGCTGCTGCTGCTGCGGACGCTCTCCCCTGTCCGCGACACACAACAGCTGCCCCAGTCCCTGCATCGACCACACTGCCCCTTCACTCTCGCTCGCCCCGCTGCCCCAAAGCTCACCACCGGTGCCGCCAATGCCGTTGCTCGGCTGCAGCCGAACGAACCGACAGCCCTCAGCAGCCACGGACGGGTCCCCGGGCGGAACCTGTTAGAATATACTTCTGTTGTAACCTGCATTTATGTTATAAAGATCGGGTGAAGATAAGCACCCAACTTTAGGTTGGGCGAATATCTAGGGTTAACCCAAAGTTGGGGTTGAGACCCAACCTTTGTCCCAAAATATTGGACCGCAAATGTTGGGTTGGGAACATTATTGGTTCCCCCTCCAATAATGTTGACCCAACTCAAGAGTGGTCAACATTATTGAAGGCCCTCCAATAATTCCCAACCCAACTTATTGGAGGGACTCCAATAATGTTGGCCACCTCCCCCCTCTCTTCTCCAACTATATAAACCCCAGCTTTTCTTAGTGCAATCAACCTTTTCTCTTCAATCTTAATTCCCATTTGGTATCAGAGCTCTCCAAAGATCCTAAGCCTAATCTTCCTCCCCTCCTAAATTTTTCTCCCAAGGGCCCACCCTGCCGTCGCAACCCCCGGCCTCCCTCCTCCCTCGCAGTTTGTTTTTCCTCACCGCCGCAACCATTGTCGCCGCCACAATCTCCTTCTCAATCGCGCCCACTCCGCCGCCACTAGCGTCCTCCTCCCCGGGACCTCTGTTCGCCACTTCCCCGCGCCAAAGCCGCCGCCGCCGCGTCCCGCGCCGACGCTGCCGCCGCCGCCCGCACCATCCCCTTCGCGGCCCCTGGTCGTCGCGTCCCCCACCGACGCACCGCCGTCCGCGCCCTCCCCTCCGCGGCCCTCGGTCGCCGCGTCCTGCGCCGACGTCGTCACAACCAGCGCTGCTGCTCCCGTCCGCGCCCTCCCCTTCGCGGCCCCTGGTCGTCGCGTCCCGCACCGACGCACCGCCATCCGCGCCCTCCCCTTCGCGGCCCCTGGTTGTCGCGTCCCGAGCCGACGTCGCCGCGGATCGTGCTGACGCCGTCGTTCGCGCCCTCCCCTTCGCGGCCCCGTGTCGCCACGCCCCGCACCGCCGCACAACCGTCCAAGCCCTCCCCCCCGCGGCCCCCGGTCTTCGCGTCCCGCGCCGACGCTGCCGCGGCCCGCACTACCACTGCCGTCCGTGCTCTCCCCTTCGCGGCCCCTGGTCACCGCGTCCCGCGCCGACGCACCGCCGTCCGCGCCCTCCCCTTCGCGGCCCCTAGTAGACGCGTCCCGCGCCAACATCGCCACGGATCGCGCTGCCGTCACCGTCCGCGCCCTTCCCTCCCGCGACCCCAGGTTGCCGCGTCCCACACCGACGTCGCCGCGAACCGCATTACCTCCGCCGTCCGTGCTCTTTGTCTCCCTTCTTGTCCTCCCCCACGCTGGACTTTGTCCTTGACAGTGGGGCCACTGAGACCGCCCTCAAAGACGCTGGTACCCTCACTCTCCTTCCTCTTCAACTATTGCGCTGGCATCCAACAGACTCACACCCTTCCGCACTCCCCATAGCAGAAATCACTAAAATCGCTCGCTGCCTCCTTGCTGACGCCTCCACCCCCCCCCTCCCTCTAGGGCTATGCCCTACTACATGCTGCCCTCCTCCTCAACCTTCACTCCCATCCTCAACACACCGCCACCACCCCCTCGGAACTCTGGACAGGCACCAAACTTGACGTTGCGGGCCTCCGTATTTGGGGCTGCAAGGCATACGTTCTTATTCCTCCTCTCAATCGCACCAAAAGCAAGCTCGCCTTTCGTGCCCTGGAGTTTGTCTACCTTGGTCACAACCGCGCCTCACCCGGCTACCTTTTCCTCCACCCTCCCTCAGGACGCCTCATCCGCAGCATCGACGTCGTCTTTGATGAGTTTATCCCTTACTACTCCACTCCTCCACCTGACCCCCTTCCCGCCCCTTCCCGTCCCCTCATCTGGACTGACACCATCCTCCCTCTCCTCCTCCCTCCTGCACCCCTTCTCCCACCTCTCCCTGCCCCACTCCCTCCGCCCTCCTCTGCTGACATCTATGATCCTGCTGCACCTGCGTCACCAGCCCACTCCACTGCCCCGCCCTCCTCCCTCCCCCTCCTCCCCTCCTTCTCCTCAACAGCCGCAGCAGCCACTGCTAGAACAACAGCCGGAACTGCAGCAGCGGCAGCAGCAGCAGCAACAGCAGCAGCAGCAGCAGCAACAGCAGCAGCAGCAGCAGGGGCAGCAGCAGCAGGGACAGTCGTCGGCTCAGCAGCAGCAGTAGCAGCAGCACTCACAGGAGCAGCAGTCGGTGCAACAGTTTGCACAGCAGCAGCCTCAGCAGCAGCAACAACCGGGGCTCCAGCAGCATTAGCAGCAGCAGCAACGGAGAGCTACTGCACGCTCCTCACCCTTCCTCCTCCCCCACATGCATACCCGCTGGCACCCCGTCCACTGCCTCCCTCAACCTCCTTGAGGATTCCCACGAAGAGTTCATCACGGTCGAGCAGCACACTTCCTCCCTCGCACCGCTCTATCCTGACTTCCTCGGTGCTCTTGTTCTCAGCACCGTCTCCGCCCCACCATCTTCATCCCCTCCACCTTCCAGGAAGCCATCACCTGCCTTGATGCTGACAAGTGGATTGCAGCCATCTTCCTGGAATGTGAGGCGTTCATCCGCAACGACTCCTTTGTCGACGTTCCCCTCCCCCCCGACGCCAAACTTGTCGAGAGCAAGTGGATCTTTCGCGTGACACAGTTGTCGCAGAGGAACAAGTCTACAAGGCCCGCTACGTTGCCAAGGGCTTCACCCAGACTTAGGCCGAGGATTACTGGTTCACATTCGCCCCCACTGCCAAGCCGCCCACTCTTCGCACCCTCCTCGACATTGGTGCACGCGAAGATATGGAGATTTGCTCCCTGGATGTCTCCAACGCATTCCTACAAGGCGACCTGCACGAGCGCATCACCCTGAGGCGCCCCCCTGGATTCCATGGTCCCTTCCCCGACAACACGGGATGGCAACTACGTCGCCCGGTCTATGGTCTAAAGCAAGCACCACGGGAATGCATGCGAAAATGTCTGCCACTCTATGGTCCCTCGGTTTCTCTGCGTCCCACTCCTATGCCAGCCTCTTCATCCGCTCCTCACCCCGTCGGTTCTTCATTCTAGTCTACGTTGACGATATGATCCCGCTGGCTTATTCCAAGGCCGACATGGAGCAAGTGAAGCGGGCGCTGCGGGAACGGCTCAAGTGCAAAGACCTTGGCGACCTGCAGAACTACCTCGGCATGACTATCACTCGTGACCGAACCGCCCAAACCATCATCCTCTGCCAGTCTCACTACCTCGGCCAGGTGCTAGAGAAGTTTGAGATGGCGCAGGCCAAGCCCGTTTCCAACCCCCTCCCCTTCGGTCATCAGCTAGCACCACCAACCTCTCCCTCCTCCTCCTCTCGCCCCTATGCGGAGCTCGTTGGGTAGTTGATGTATGCCATGATGTGCACACGCCCCGACCTCGCCTATACCATCAGTGTCCTTGCTCTGGTTGTGGGCACCGGCCGCCACACTGAGGAGCACTGGACTGCCGCCAAACGGGTTCTCCGCTACCTCCGCAGAACCAAGGACCATGCCCTCACACTTGGCGGCTCCTCTCCTCCTCTCCTCACTGGCTTCAGCGACTCCTCATGGGCAGACTCGCAGCCGGATCGCCGCTCCTCTCAAGGATACGGTTTCACCCTTGGCAGCGTCCTAATCAGCCGGCGTTCCACGTGCTCCTTTGCCATTGCACTCTCCTCCTGTGAAGCTGAGCTCTACGCCGGCACCATGGTCGTTCAGGAATCCCGCTGGCTCTCCTTTCTTCTTGTTGAGCTCGGCGCTCCTCAGCGTTGCCCCACTCTCTGGTGTGACAAATTCCAGCATCATACATCTCACCCAGGACCCTGTCTTTTACGGCCGCTCCAACCATATCGAGCTCCACTACTTCTTCATCTGTGACTTAGTCCAGAAGGGACTCATTGTTGCTCGCAAGATTGCCGACGAGGCAAACTTAGCCAGCATCTTCACCAAGGCGCTTCTCCGTCCTACACACTATGCCCTCCTTCGCCTTATCGAACTTGCTCCTCTCGGCGCTCCATGATTCAGAGGTTCTTCCGATCTTCTCCATTTCTGCAGGTTATGGGGTTGCGATAGAAATATACTTCTGTTGTAACCTGCATTCATGCTATAAAGATCGGGTAGTGATAAGCACCCAACTTTAGATTGGGTGTAAATCTAGGGTTAACCCAAAGTTGGGGTTGAGACCAAACCTTTGGCCCAAATCATTGGACCCCAAGGTTGGGTTGGGTACAGTATTGGTACCCCCTCCAAGAATGTTGATCCAACTCAAGAGTGGTCAACATTTTTTGAGGCCCTCCAATAATTCCCAACCCAACTTAGTGAAGGGACTCCGATAATGTTGGCCACCTCCAACCTCTCTTCTCCAACTATGTAAACCCTAGCTTTTCCTAGCTGTGCAATCATCCTTCTCTCTTCAATCTTATTTCCCACAGAACCTCCCCTCCCCCTCCCCTACCCCTCTTCCCGTCCCCCGCCCCCTGCCCCTCCCCCTGTACCCCCTCAGCCACCTGCCCTTGCTGCTGTGGTGCGCCGCCGGGGACGAGATGCACCCACGACGACAGGGGCGAGGGCCAGTCTGCTGCGTCGGACGTTTCCTCGAAGCTCGTATTGCGTAGGAGGTTCAACGAAGGAGCTGGGTGTGGTGGGGGAGAAGAGGTGGGAGGAAGGGTGGGGCAGGAAGGAGAGATGGAGTGGGGAGATGGGTTGGGGGGGAGAAAGGTAGGTAGGGTGTGGGGTATGATGGAGCGGGGAATGTGGCGACACATGTGTCAAGATAACGAGCAGAAAGTTAGAACAGGAAAGAGAGGGTGCACTAGTAAGCTGGGCAGTACATATAGCAAACCCTAACAGGGTTGTACTCACCATAGAGTACACCACTGCAAACTAGACAATTATAACATTCTGACACACCCCCATAGGCAAAGTGGGGTATAATCAGTACAGCATGCAGTCAGAAAATAGTTCACAAGCACAAGTAAAGCTAGAGGTAGGCACAGAGGGCAAGTGAGGAGGAGGAGGGACTGTGAGAGGAGAGGAGATGGGAGGTGACGACGGTAGCTGCAGACACATAGGAGCGGCTGGCTCAGTGGCTACCGAAGCAATGGCCAGGACTACAGGAGTAACTGGCTCCGCAGCTACGCCGAGTGGCTGGAGCAACTGACCCACGGGCGACTGGCGACTACCGGAGATTGTAGCCTCCGGACTACTGGCGCTGCTGGCGACATGACGACTACCTCCGCTCAACCTCCCCCCGACTGTCCCACCCCCCTTTCACACACCCCTTGCTGCACCCCTAGCTCCACTCCGATGTCACCCCCCTAGCACCACTCCCTCGGCTCCCACACACCCACCCCCCTCAGCGGCAGCTGCAGCAGTGGGAGACGGAGGAGGAGGAGGAGCAGGGGAGGCCTTAACACCCGTCACCCCCATACTCGCCACCCCCACACTCGCCACCCCCAAACCCTAACACAGGCAGCAGCGCGGGCAGCAGCGGGGGACAGCGCGGGCAGCAGTTCGGGGGGCGGCGCGCGGCTCCCCAGGGCGCCGCGACGAGGCAGCGGGGGCGGCGCGCGGCTCCCCAGGGCGCCGCGACGAGGTAGCGGGGGGGCGCGAGCAGCTCCCCAGGGCGTCGCGACGAAGCAGCGAGGGCCGCGCGCGGCTCCCCAAGGCGCCGCAACGAGGCAGCGGGGGGCCGCGAGCGGCTCCCTAGGGTGTCGCGACGAAGCAGCGGGGGCGACGCGACCGTCGACGGGGGGCAACGCGCGGGTCGACGGGGCGGAAAACCGCCGCGCGCCCCGAGGCGCACGTTGAGCAGAAAACCGCCATGCGCCCCGAGCGCGTGGCGGGAAGAAAAAACGTCGCGCGCCACGGGGCGCGCGACACACAAGACAGCAGCGGAAGCTAACGGTGGGCCCACAGGCCAGGAGCGTAACCGCTCTGATAGCATGTCAAGATAACGAGCACAAAGTTAGACAGGAAAGAGAGGGTGCACAAGCAGGGCAGTACATATAGCAAACCCTAACAGGGTTGTACTCACTATAGAGTACCCCACTGCAGACTAGACAATTATAACATTCTCACAACATGTGCAACTCTGGAGAAGGGTAAAGAAAATCAACGAACGAAAAGAGAAGGGAGGTGGCAGATATATCTGGCAAGAGAAGTGGGGAGAAAGGTATTAAGGCTGGGGGGAGGGGGGTGCGAAATAGGCGGAGAAAGGGGTGCGAAGGCGTGGGACAGTGCATCATGGCTGGATGGGTGTTGTTGGTGCAGCAGGGCTGGCCTGGACGAGGGTAGAGTGAGAGGGAGGGGATTCAGAGGTGGAATGTTAGGGGGGAGGGCAGAGGCGGAATGTTTGGGGGGAGGGCGGAGGCGGAATGTTTGGGGGGAGGGCAAAGGCGGAATGTTTGGGGGAGGGCAGAGGCGGAATGTTTGGGGAGAGGGAAGAGGCGGAACGTTTGGCTTGTTGAGGGTTCTCGCCATCCACACAAAGTTTGGCGACTTGATGAGGTCAAAAGAATCAGTATCTTGAGCTACGAGGCTGGCTGCGAGGCTAGCTGCGAGGCTAGTTACGAGGCTTGTTAGGAGGCTGGTTACGAGGCTGGTTACGAGGCTGGTTACGAGGCTGGTTACGATGCCAGAGATATTAACAATCATGAGACTACCTTTCGACACGTCACAGGAATCAGTACCTTGAGCTGTGAGGCTGGCGCATGTCGGCACGGCAGCGTTGGCGACGGCGACGACCGAAAGGAGCTGCGTGATTACCACAAGCACGCGAAGAACGACGATGAGGCAACCCCTGATGCCAAAATGAGCTTGCCGACTGGAGGTTGGTTATGGATTTCTGCCAGTAAGCAGGGACGCAGCAAGTGTCTCGCTGGTGTCCCATGAAGAATAGCGGATAATTGGTTTGCGTGTGGCATGGAGAGAAGTGCCGCAAGAGCGGGCGGGAATTGCGAGAAGGAGCGATAGTCAAATGCGGTGATGGCCGCATCGCGCGACAGGAGAAAATGTCTTAAGTAGCTTCCGCGGTTTCCATAAGGATTTCCATTCCTGTCCTATCTGTATTTTGCCACCGTAAGAGCCAAGGCAAAGCCAAGCTATACCATGCCCTCGATGAAGTGTACAGGCGAATCACACGGCTGGAAGGAATTTCAGCTCGAACCCTAACCACACTGCATCACGCTTTTAACTGACTGAAACGCACCACCTCTCTTGAATTTCTTATTGAACCTATTTGTTGTACAGCTGCTGGCTAACAGTATGCGCTGTGATTCAGTTCAGTGCAGACCATAGGGACTCACTCATGGCGGCCTGACGCTGCAGTTGTATGCAACAAAGGAAAGGAAAGGAAGGGAAGGGGGAGGAGGGAGGGAAGGGGCGAGGGGGTCTTGTTGTCGGGGCAGAAAGCGCCGGAAAAGGCCCACTCGAAGGCCACCGCAATTGCCGGAGTTGGGTTCAGTTTTGTTGGAACAAAGAAGGAAAAATGAGGCAACCTATTGCTCGACAGGTTTTGCGTCCCAACCTAAATCCAACATATGATGAACATGCATGCACACCATCTGAGATTCGATTTGGTTGGGCTCGACACCACCTGCAGTGCCTCCCCTCCACCACGCCAATGCACCGCATTGCACCGCGGCAGTCCAGTCACATTCTGCCTAGCTGACATGTTGCCATAGTGAAGGTCAACGCCTATATTTTAATATGGGCATGCTCGCTAGTACATTCGATAGGTACAAGGTTTAGCGTGTACCGCCCATTCTTCAGGTGCAGTACATCTTACATTCACTACACACTTAGTCTGGTGCTGCAACATTCGGTCAAGGGTGATATTATGAGTTGTACTTGTCAGAAATAACTGAGCAGGAATGAGATGAACTAGCACAGAGTTTGGTACAAGTAGGAAACCCTAACTTTGTGTACCCCCTAAGGTGTAACCCACTACAGCCTACACAATATAAACATGCAATGTTTGACACACCCCCATAGGCGCAGTGGGAGACAACCACAGGGTCACAAGACCAGTCAAAGCAAAGCAAAGCAAGCTCAGGGTGGATCTCAAGGATTCCACACAAATTCCGAGCACAAGCAAGCGGTCACAAGACCAGTTCACATGCAGGTTTATAACAAAGCAAGAGATACAGTGATCACAACCTAGCAAAAGTAAACAAGTAGGCATATATACATAGTGATCACAGTACAAGCAAGGTCAAGAGGTAAGCAAGTGAGGCCCAGTAGGTACAAGGCCTAGCAGAGTGCAAAAGCGCTGATGGTCACAAGGCTGAAGCGCCTTGGTGAACACATCAGCAGTGTTGGCCTCCGTGGCCACGTAACGCAGACAAAGCTGACCACGCTGCTGCAGCTCTCGAGCAAGGAAGTACCGCAGAGCGATGTGCTTCGTTCTGTGCTCCAGTCTGTGCTCCTCACACAAGGCAATGGCAGCCTTGTTGTCGACGTACAGCACTGGAGGAGAACGAGGCCGCTCTCCGAGGTCGGTCAGCAGGTAGGTCAGCCAGCGTAGCTCCTGAGCAGCCATGGCTGTGGCGTAGATCTCAGCCTCACAACTGGAGCTGAGAACAGAAGAAGAGCATGTAGAACGCCAAGAAACTGAGCCAGAGCCAAGGCTGAAGGTGTAACCCTGGGACGACCGCTGAGTAGCCTGGTCGTCTGCCCAAGAAGCGTCTGAGTGCCCTGTGAGAACAACCCGGTCTCGCCCTCCAAGCACAAGCCCCATGCCCGACGTACTGCACAAGTAGCGCAACACCCTCTTAGCAGCATCCATGTGCTCCTTCCGGTGACGGCCAGGAGCGACATAGCGTGCTAGGATGCTAAGAGGGTATGCAAGGTCAGGTCGAGTGCAGGTCATCAGGTACATGAGGCAGCCCACAAGCTCTGGATACGGGCCACTCGGCTCTACGGACTCATCCGAAGGCAGAGCTGAGAGCGAGTGACCGGTAGGCAGAGGAGTGGACTGAGGCGAGGAGTACGTGAAGCGGAAGCGCTGGAGAACCTGCTGCACCATGTGTGACTGAGTCAGGGTGATGGTGCGCCGTGCTCTGTCCCGGGTGATCCGCAAGCCAAGATAGCTCGTCAGCTCACCCAGGTCTGTGCACGTGTGTCTCCTCTGCAGCTCCGACTTCACGTGAGCGAGTGCCGCGGTGTCAGCAGTGGCAAAGACCAAGTCGTCGACGTACACGAGGATGTAGAACGGCGGCAGCGAGGTGTCGGTGCGTAGAAACAGCGACGGGTCAGCAGTAGAGGGAGCGAACCCAAGAGCCGCAAGTGTCGTCCTCAGTGTGTCGTGCCACTCACGTGGCGCCTGGCGGAGACCGTAGACCGGTCGCTGAAGCCTCCACTGGGTGCCAGGAGGAACTGACCCAGTGAAGCCAGGGGGGCGGCGCAGCCAGATCTCCTCGTGCAGGCTGCCCTGCAAGAAAGCAGTGCTGAAGTCAAGAGAGTGAAGCTCGTAGTCGCGGTGAGCGGCTATGTGCAGCAGCACCCGAAGAGTGGTAATCTTCGGGGTGGGGGAGAAGGTCTGAAAGAAGTCTACTCCCTCTCGCTGACTGAAGCCTCGAGCCACGTAGCGCGCCTTGAAGACAGGTGGAGAACCCGGCGGCCGCTTCACCCTGAAAATCCACATGCCACTGACGATGTTCGCCCCAGGAGGGGGAACCTCGTCTACGTAGGTGCCTGTGGACTTCCAGGAGGCCATCTCTGCGTCCATGGCTGTCTGCCACTGAGAGGAGTAGGGACCCGCCATCGCCTCAGCGTAAGAGCGTGGGGTCGGGATGTCTAGTGCATCCGGGTCTCCCTCAGGGGCAACTAGCAAGGACACGAGACGGGGCAAAGCAGCAGCAAGGCAGTGGAACTCCTCCTGTCTGTCCTCAAGGACGTCCGTGCCGAGGGCACACTCACCCCCGACGGACGGAGGACAGGCAGACGCAGACTCAGACCTAGCGACAAGGCTGGCAGCGTAGTCTAGGCGACAGCGAGCAGCAAAGTCAACCAACTCAGCGACCAGAGCAGACGCAGCAGAGGACTCAAAGGTCGGGTCAGTGACAACTGTAGCGAGGAGACGCGTAACAGTGGGACTGGCAGCACGACGGGAGTCAGACTCCGGGTCAGGAAGAGTAGGAAGAGAGGACGCAGGAGGAGACGGCAGCGGGACACGCTGCGGAGCAGTGGAGGGACGCAGAGTCATGTAGTGAGTGCCAGGGACAGGAGGAGGACGCTCACGTGGGACACGACGACCAGTGCGAGCAGTACGAACAGGCGACGCAGGACGAGACTCAGGCTCACGACGCTCTGTAAGACCTCCTGTGGGACCAGCGTAAGGAGAGGGAGCAGGGAGAGGCGAGGCAGGCGGTAACTGTGACTGCGGCTGGACAGGCAGAGGACACTCGACGGAGGGAGGAGGACTAGGAGGAGGAGCCTGACCAAGAACCTGCTGAAGGAGCGGTACGAAGTACGGTCGCGGCCGCGCAGCGTCTCCAGAAGCAGCAGGGACACCAGTGGCAGCCCCAACGCCCGAGTCCTCAGCACCAGCAGCAGCTCCAACGCCCGGGTCCTCAGCACCAGTAGGAGCTCCAACGCCCGAGTCCTCAGCACCAGCAGCAGCGCCACCGGTCGGGTCCTCAGCACCAGCAGCAGCTCCAACGCCCGGGTCCTCAGCACCAGCAGCAGGGCCACTGGTCAGGTCCTCAGCACCAGCAGCAGCGCCACCGGTCGGGTCCTCAGCACCAGCAGCAGCTCCAACGCCCGGGTCCTCAGCACCAGCAGCAGCTCCAGCCCCCGGGTCCTCAGCACCAGCAGCAGCTCCAGCGTCCGGGTCCTCAGTACCAGCAACAGCACCACCGCTCGGGTCCGCAGCACCAGGAGCACCACTACGAAGACTGCAGCGCCGCGTGTACCACTCGCGGATCACCTGAATGGGGGGGAGCTCCTGGGTAGGAGGGGAAGTACCGGGACGAGCTCCAGAAGCACCTCTCCGGAGGCGGCAGTACTCGAGGTACCTCTCCTGCAGCTGCTGGGAGGAGAGGGCTCCTCCAGGTGGAGCACGCTCAGGCTCAGCACCCCCAGACTCAGCACCCCCAGACTCAGCACCCCCAGACTCAGCACGTCCAGGCTCAGCACCCCCAGGCTCAGTACCTCCAGGCTCCGCACCTCCAGGCTCCGCACCTCCAGGCTCCGCACCCCCAGGCTCCGCACCTCCAGGCTCAGCACCCCCAGGCTCCGCACCCTCAGACGCAGCACTCCCAGGCTCAGCACCCCCAGACGCAGGACTCGAGTCAACAGCTACCTCGACAGGCTCACCCGGGTCTACCTGGGACACACCTGAGGGAGCGGCACCCTGAGGGGGGAGGGGGTCTGGTACCTCAGCACCTGGAGCGAGGAAGAGAGGCGGGGGGGGGGAGCGGGGCAGTGCGGTAGGGGAAGAGGCGGTAGAAGGGGACGGACTCGTCAAAAGTGACGTCCTGAGAGGCCAGAACCCGGCGCGAGGTGACGTGGTAAAACTGCCATCCAGGCGCGTCGGGAACAAAGCCAAGGAAGACACAGGGAAGAGCGCGACGGGAGAGCTTGTCCACAGACGTGTCGCGGACAAAAGCTCGGGATCCCCACACCCGGAAACGCGACGCATCGCCAACCTCTCCCGTCCAACGCAGTGTCGGGGAAGTCTCCGGCAAGGAGACACGGGGCCAGAGGTTGAGCTGATGCGCAGCGTACCGGACCGCAAACGGCCACAGAAAGTGGGGAGCAGCCGCATGGGTCAGGGAGGTACGAGCGACCCCATTCAGCGCTCAGCAACCCCATTCTGCTGTGGAGAGGCCGGAAGCGTGTACGACTGCTCAATGCCGTGCTCAGCACAGTAGGCTGCCAGGAGGTCGGAGGCAAACTCACCACCTCTGTCAGAGTGCAAGCGCAGGACAGGAAAGTCCGAGTGAAAGCGCTCGCCTAGCTGGAGACGGGCTCGGCTGATCCAGGGGATCAAAACACCAGGGACGTCACCCTTGGCGCGCAAGGGGAAGACCGTGGTGTAGCGCGAGTAGTCGTCAACAACTATCAGGAAGTACCTCTCCTGACCCTGACCACGGACGCGGGCTGGGCCCCACACGTCCATGTGGAGCGTCTGCAGGGGAGCGGTCGTCGGGGGAAAGGAGGAGGAGTGAGGAGCGGCGCGCTGCCGCCCCTCGACACAGGGAATGCAGTCAGGAGCAGGGGAGTCAGGAAGGGGAGGGAGCACCCTGGGAAGACCAGCAACAAGGTCCCGTTTGTGCATGGCCCGCAGGCGCTGCACAGACGGGTGACCAAGGCGGTGGTGCCAGAGGACGGTGTCGTTCGCCAGAGAGCGACACGAGCAGGGGGCGGACAGCTGACCTGACGCTGACGCAGACGCAGCTACCTGAGGGGACTCAGTGGTCAGTGTGTACAGGTCAGACCCCGGCTCTCGAGTGAAAGTAGCTAGGTGGCGGCCCGTCCGAGCACATGTGCAGTGAGTCACACGCTCGTAGGCAGGGGTGAACTGGTGAACACCCCCGTCCTGGAGCGCACTACCTGCCACCAAGTTCGTGGAGAACGAGGGGAGGTAGAGACCTGAGAGCGTGCCGGACGGAACCGCTGGACACGGAAGGGTGGTGGAGGAGGTCGCAAGGACCGGACCCCCAGAGGGGTCAGCAAGAGAGACAGCAACCGGCCGAGCTAGAGGCTCAAGGACAGTGCGGTCACGAAAGAAAGAGCGAGAAGCACCTGAGTCCAGTGTGAAGGTGTGCAGTGCTGCAGTCAACTCAGTACCAGGGGGCACAGACGCACAAGCACCTAGAGCAGCAGCTGCAGTAGTACCTGTGGGAGCAGACACACTAGCACCTAGAGCAGCAGCGGGGCTGGCCTGAATGCCCGGGTCGGGCGGAACACGCAAGTACTGAGCACCCTCTCCACTAATAGACATCGCATACATGGCAGTGAGGATAGCATCAAAGTCTAGTGCCCAAATATCAACACCCTTCCTGAGCAGCTCAGCCCAGCGCGGCAGCTCACCCCCACCAGGAAACTGGGTGCGCCACGCGTCGTTGAGGCGGGCGAAGCAGCGCTCCGTCTGGTGCGGCCCCCCACACGTCTGGCCAGTGCGGTCACCTGTGCGAATAACGTACTGGCAGGTGACGCTGCGCCGCGCATACCACTCACGGGCGGCCTGAAGGGTCGGGGCAGGCTGCTGACTCTGACCGCCCCCCGGGCCTCCACGACCACCACCCCCGCCGCCTCCGCCCCGGCCACCTCCACCCCTGCCGCTGCCACGACCACCTCCGCCTCCGATGCCACCTCCGCCCCTGTCACCACTCCCACCGCCGCTGTCACCTCCACCACTGCCGCCACTAGCCTCTCCAGTCGCACCTCCACCGCCACCACCTCCACTCCCGCCTCCTCCGCCACCACCCCCACTCCTGCCACTCCTGCCCCTGCGTCGTCCGCCTGAAGCAGACGCAGCCCCGACCTTCTCAGCACCAAGGAGGTCGACAGCAGCAGCAGAGGCGACAGAGGGGAGGAGGGGGGAAGGGGAGCACCCCTCGAAGAAGGGGCCGCGGGGGTCGCCACGAGAGGTGCCTACAGCGACGATACTAGTCTCGGCTGCAAGCAGTTCCTTCTCGAGGAGGTCTACGGTGAGTTCAGTGGGGGAGCGAGAGAGGAACTGGTCCCTGACAGGGCGCAGAGAGTCAGGGAGGCGGGTGACAACGTGGTAGAGAGTGATCCAGAGCGGGGGGGGGTTGCTAGCGAGGAACTCGTCAGGCATGGCAGCGCGAAAGCGAGCCTCACTAGTCTTAAGGTGGGTGATGAGGTCTGCGACAGTGTGAAAGGAGGCTAGGTCGGGGAACAGGTAGGGGAGAGTGAGGCGGCCTAGCGTGGCAGAAGCGGGTGAGGAGTAGCGGGCCACTACAGCTGTGTAGAGGTCCTTAGCAGTCTTGCACTGGCCGAAGTGCTCGCGCTCATCTAGCGGCAGGGAGTTGCGAATAGCAAAGCGAGCGTGCGCGT